ATAGGCACCTTTTAATTTTTCATTCAGAATGCCTACTGTGCCAGCCGCTGTGTATGCTACCGTCAATAGCTACGTACTGGTGGAACTACATGTCCCCCACGGGTCAAAAGAAATCGGCTATCATCGTTTTGCAGCAGCTGATGAAACTGGAAAGTTGTTTATATAAATCAAATAACTCGTGTAAATAAAAGGCCAAGAAATGACATTAGAAAGGTGAATATATACCCACAGAATTACGGAATTACCTTGAAAAAAAAGACAACCAAGTTTCACCAAATTTGCAAACTTTTTAACCAGAATTAAAAAAAAAATCGGTATGCAGTTTTATAGCCCATACAATTTTCATCTTCTTCTTTATTGTTTTGGTCAGTCCATAACAGCACGCCAGTCGTTTTCTTCTGTGCCAACTGACGTCAATTGGAAATGTCTTTGAAGCCAAGTCCTTCTCCACCTGGTCTTTCCAACGCAGGCATCGCAGCCCGCTTTGAATACTTTCCTAAGTCTTTATCGTTGTAAAGCTCATACAGCTCATCGTTAAATGTTTTTTTGGAATCGAAAAGATTTTTTCAACATAAACGACAAAGCACTTAAGTTCGCAATTGCCTACTCAGTCCAAAGTAGCAATTGTTGCAAAGGGTGATTCTCCGTCGGATTTCAAGGCTGACATTGTTATTGGTTTTAATGCTGGTTCTCAAATAAACGAAGTCGTCTACTTTTTCAAAATTTTAACTCTCAACATTGACGTGAGTGCCAAGACGCTTAAGCTCTGCTGTTTGTCTGTTGACAGGAGATAAGTTCTTCGTTTTGTCCTCGTTCACCCCCAGACCCATTTGCTTTGCTACTCTGTCTAATTCCGAGAAGGCAGAACAGCCCTTGATTTTACTAAGAATGTCGATGTACGAATTGTACGCTCTTAAGAATTGCGGCTCTTATTATCTTCTCCAGCATTGGATTAAAGAAATCACGCGAAAGAAAGTCGGCCTATCTGAAACACCGTTTTGTGGAAACGGCTCGGAGAGGTATTTCTAAATTCTGACGGAGCTGGTGGTATTGCTCAAAGTCATTTTGCACAGCCGTATTAGTTATGCGGGGATGCAAATTCAAACATCGCGGCATAAGGACCATTGTGTACAAATACAAGTGAGATATCTTAGCAATAGACGTCATCCTGGGATACAGCTGCGATCATCTGTTTTTTAGAGCTGCTTATTTTGGTCTAAACTGCTCTTTTTTGACCTGAGTTGCATTAAATAGTCTTATACAACTTAGTAGTATTTGTGGTTCAAATGGTAAAATATATGCCCAAAAACTTGAAAAATATTAGATGATTGTTTTTTAAAAATGCTATTTAGTAAATTTCGTTTTGATTTCCACATTAGAAATATTCAGATTATAAAAGTTTTTCACATATGTTTTAAGATTTTAAAAATTTTAAAAAGTACGGTAGAATGCAACAATGTGGTTGAATTTGTTTGCATCTTCGTCAGCTTATTCGTTTGCAGACTAGAAAAATGGCGAACAGCCATCAAAATACTTATTCAAAATACACAAAAATGGGTGCGCGCAGCAAAATTCAGCCCTAATGGTAAGTTCATTTCATCGTGCGGCGACAAGTTAAGAATTTGCGATACATTTTCAGGCGAATGTATGCGAACGTTCACCGGGGGAAGAGGTATGGGACGACAGCTGGCATGGCATCCAGACGGCAATCTGGTGGCTTTAGCATTAAGTTGTAACCGCGTTAAGATATTTGACAAAGCTGAAGGCGAGCTAATACAGTGCATTCGTCGCCGGAGAATGATGTTGCATTTCACCCAAGTGGAAATTTCTTGGTGACTGGCGGCGATGACGATACAATAAGATTGCTTGATTTATTAGAAGGTCGGCCAATTTATACACGGTAGTAGGGCACTTTAGCGGAACCAGGTCAAAATGGACGGGAAAATTATACACTAACTGGCTACTAAGTTTGCGCTGTCGCTTTCTCTCCACATGGTAGACATTTTGCTTCCGCGGGCGAGAATCGACAGTTAATTTCTGCTTTGTATTTAAAAAAATTATTTAATATAAATTTTTTCCTGTATTCAACAGTTGCTCGTTTGGAAATCTAATTTGCATACATTTGATGCCAATAGCTCTCGTAACAAACAAGCCAGTTCTCAAAGAGTCCAAATTGAGTAGTCATGGAACAGCTCCACATAACTCCGCCATAGACACACCAGTTGCTGGAGTACCAAAAAGCTGTGATGACAGTATTTTAATTGATCCACGACAATCGGTGGCATATGGAATGCGTGATGGAAATTTTCTGGTGCTTGATAGCCAATATACTACAAGAGTGAAACGCTACAAGTGAAACGCTGTGATAGTATTTTTTCTCAAATTTTCATCTTTTATTTGCAGTTACATTAAGAAGCTCATAGAGGACAGAGCGGTTGGTGAGGAAGGTGTCGAGTTACTGCTGTACTGCAACTGGGAAAATCCGCATTTCGCACGTGCTCCACTCGTATGGAATAGTAGCTTATGTCGAAAGGCTGGTTTTAGTATAATGCGGCATTCGCAGCATACCCTCACTGGCGCCGAGCCGTTGAAGAAATTTTGGATAAATAAACGTGCAAGAAATAGTTCCGATACTAGCACGTCCATATTCTTGTTAAGGGTCATCAAAAAATTCCTTGTGTTGTAAATAATAAAGGGAATGCCGGATTATACTAAAGCCAGCTTCCCGACATAAACTACTATTCCATACGAACACAGAAATATAAATGTATCTAAAACTGAATAACTCAAATCAAATTGGATTGCATTTGCATAATATACCTAATATTGGAATCTGTTTTGATCGTAAAAAATACAACTTGCAATCATTTAGATTATAGTTTTGAAAGAAATTGATTGCAATCGTAAATTATGTAAAAATTGTCAATAACAATCTGCCTAAAATTTCTTTTCCCCATGTAACGGTTATAAAATACGTTAAATCCGCACTATCTGCATTAACAAAAAATATACATTGGAATATTTAAAATAAACCGATTCATATTTATTTTCTAATAAGAATTGTTTCTTAATTGAAAGTATTTAATACTAATATAATGTAGTGGTTAATGTTTTAAAATGAATTCGCAATATGTCCGCAGCTCAGGTTGATTTAAAGAAATCCGTTTAAATTTTTCGAATTACATCTACTTGAATACAGGATAGGCAGGGTTGCATACAAATGGTAGTTCCGTAAATATTTAAAATATGTTAGTTCATTCAATATTTGCATCTGGGCCAATAAATAATAACAAATATAGCCGAAAAAAACAAAGTTTCAATTAAAACGAGTTTTTATAACCCCCCATAAAATTCCGATTAATTTTAAATACGAAAATAACGATATTTTTTCATGGAGATTTATTTTTTTAATATACCTTGTTTATACCTACACAAAAACCGGATTAGCAAAAAACCGATTGGACTCAACATATATTTCTTTACAGCATTTATCCCCCTGTCTTTATAGCGCACTCGATAAAGTCTTATTCAAAAGTAAACAAAATTGCTATTTTTAAACGACATTTTTTTAATAAATAATTTGCGCGGTTGACCGAAATGGAAACAAACAATAATTGTAATTTATTATAACAATAATACGAATTTAAAACGGGCTGTATAAAGAAAACCAGCCTATTGTCACTTCACTTTCCAATGGTGCTGATTGCTGCAAGAATTATTTAGCGATTTAGAGCATAATCAACACAATATATGCACATAAATATGTATTATTTCACAGATCTCAGGGTCAGCTTAGAAATACGTTACCAAAATTATATAAAATTTAAGTAGGAATTATTTTTATTTATAACGTAAAAGCGCTATCTGACCCAATCTGATAAGTATATTTCCCCTAAAGTTAACCCATTTTATTTAATTTGTCTCTCGTGAAAATATATATTTTATTTAAAATTTTCAGATATGTACATATATTTTAAATTTTTGCTTTAATTTTTGTCTCCTTTTAATATTTAATTAGATACCTTAAGATTAAAATAAGCTTAAAACGAAACAGCACAGCAACCCTTTTCTGTTCATCTTGAGAACACAAAACCCTCTTTTGTTAAAATTCGGCGCTGCACAAAATCCTGGCTTTTATATTTTCCAACAAAATACCACTTCGCAACCCTGGATTTTCACGAAGCGTTTCATTCGGGTCGTAGTTTGGCTACTTCGGGCCATTCGGTGTTGTATGCCATATTGGCTGCCTATTGTTCACACTGTCATCGCCATATTGAACACCCTGTCAACTATCTGTCAACCCTAAGATATCTCACTTGTATTCTTCCACAATGATAAGGACAACTGCTTTTCGTGCTGTTGAAAGTGGCATCGAAATTGAGATCCGATTCTCGCAGGTCTTTTGCAAGCTTTGTTTTTTTTTCAGCCGCGTAATCGCTTTTCGTAACTCTTTATGGTTAGGCGGTGGGACATCGATTCCATCATCAACGACTGGGGGCTCGGGTTCGTCTTCTCCACAAATTTCAGTGCGGCTGGCATTCAATAGGGCAAAGTGTTTCCTACATAATTAAAGTATGTTCTGGACATCAGTCACAAGGTCGCCAAGGTTGTTCTTACAGGAGTTGGCCCTGGTTTTGAAGCCTTTAGTAAGTCGCCTAACTCTCTGATAAAACGTTCGGGCGTTTCTTCTATTGGTCAGCATTTCAAGATCTTCGCACTAACGTGTTTTGGCGTCTATTATATTAATCACTGATCACGTTTGGGCCAGGCATAAAACTGATAAATTTAAAATTGATTGATGCAACCGGGCATGAGCAGTTTAATCTTTTTATAGCACACAAGTTACCTAAACGTTAACAGAAATCATACAACCTACCAGACCATACCCAACCACCAACATTTCTATGAACGTGAAGGAAAATAAAAAGAGATACGAATACTATTTGTATGTTTCATTCGTTTTCTTATTTCATTTCTGGAAGTTTTCGAATAAATTTGCTCACTTAAATGTGCAGCTGGAATGAATGATTCTAAAAACTTGTAATATGCATTTTTTGGTATTTTGATTTTCTTTGCATATTTTTTAATTAAAATGCTACATTAAAAGGAAGAAAGGTATCCTGTGAAATGTTAATGAGTTTTCGAGTTTGTGTTGTATTAGAAATTTTTACATCCGTCCCCCTCTGCTGTTCCAAAGCTATGCACACATATCTACATTTATTAAAAACCAGTGAACTTTTCTTCTTGCATTTATATACACATACGTACATACATATATAACTGCAAACTTTGTCCCCGAGAAACTTTATAGCCCACGGCATTTCTTTGCTGCTTTTGAAATTAATCTTCCCAAAGACAAAGGTTCTATAAAAACGCAAAAATTTTGTCAACCCCATCTACAAACGAAAACGTGACAATACCCGGTCGTACATACGCGACATTATGCCAAAAGGCGAAGAACAAAGAAACGAATCATACGCCTAATTTAAATGTCATTAGAAAACAATTAAAACAAAGGTAGTAAAAAGACCAAAATAATAAAATACCAACTGACAGATTATTGTACTGAGAAGTACATATATGTGACAAAGGTCCAAAATTCAGTGCGTGGTAGAAGGAGGTATTGAGTGTGTTAAAATAAAAATGCCCCAAGAACAAAGACCGGAAACCGAGGCGCTGATGTGAATAAATGTCAACAGCAGGAAGTCGCATTTTACGAAAATGTCGCCGAAGCCATATTTTGGCACACAAAGTATAGAGTAGAACAAATGTCAACGAAATGCCAAAAAATGACAGCATTAAAAATCGAGAACGAAAAAAGAGAAAGGGCGGGAGAGACTGCAAAGACTATTACCAGTTGGATGGAGAGGCACGTGCTGAAAAGAGCTACAAACAGTTGGTGTCTGTGCTCGGGGCATCGTTGCCTACTGGGGGCTGGTTGTGCCGGAGAAAGAGCTCAATGTGGTGGCAAGTGCATGGTAAAGAAGCAGGCAGATAAATTTTAAAGCCAAAATTAAAATAATTAAGATTGTAATTAGTATGTCTAGGAGCTAATGCATTAGTGGCGGCGGCTGCTAAAATATCACGAATGCCTTCTACGCCAAAATGCAGGCATAATTTGTCGAAAAATATTTTAAATACACAAAACGTGCGCTATCGGCGCGTAACGATACCAGCCACTTGGTTGGTCACGTGCACATCACCCCTCCCCACTCCCTCAATATGTATATACGCGCGAACACCCAGAGACTTTTCCCAAATGCAAACAAAAAATATGTGATTTTGCTCAAAAGCATCTGCAGCATCACCTGGCCTTTCGCAGACCGACCCAAATGGATGGCTGGTTGGTTGGTGCCTGTGAACAGCCGCACTTGCCAGCAATTGCACGCGCGACTTGGCGACTTGGCGGGGGAGTGAGCCATTTGTTGTGCTGGTATTTTTTTTTCTTTCCGTTTTGGTTTGTTTTGTTCTTTGTGACCGCAGCCGTGCTTCCTTAATCAGCTGCATGAATTGAAATCCGCTTTTGTAAGAGTCGTTGCCATTCTTTACGCTGCGCTCTTGGTTGTTGCTAAGGTTGGCACATGAAATGCGATACTTTTCGCATTTTGAGTCTTTTATCCCCCTCCCACTCCCTTTCGATTCGCGTTGTGAGTGCATCATTTTTCTTATCTGTTTTTTTATTTTTATTTTTGCGCCTTGGAAATGTTCGTGCTTGGGTATAATTTGTTATATTTGCTCTACCACACACGCACACACACACACACACCAACACGTTTTTACCTAACTATTTTACTTACCGGGGTTACTTAACTGCTTTGCTGCACTTTTATTTCCATTGTTTCATTGTTTATGATCATTTTTATAAAACAGATGGATTTCGTTTTGGCATTCTCATTACTATTTGCCCACTTTTCGTGCAGCACTTGTGGGCACTTTTTTTTTTTTTGCTTTTTTCGGGAATTATTCGTTCGTTATTCGAGTAATTTAATATTTTCTATTGTTGAAATGAGAAAAAAAACTTAATATTATAAGTTGTAGGTATGTCTTGTTATTTAATTAAAATCTACTCCTCTCTCTTAAAATCAAAATGTAACTCCGCTTTTGTGATTGGAAAGAGAAATTAGATTCGGTTAAGCTTGCCTTTTCCATGGTAAATATGTCTGTACGTCTTTTAAGAGCCCACTCAGGGGCCTGCGGGGTTTTCATAAGTATTCGGTCCATATATTCTTAAGTAAGTAGGCCGTCGTTGTTTGTGGATAGGCGTAGATTGAACTCTTGGCGCATCTCCAAGATTTCTGCTGGACAGGAAGTGTTGTGTTCCAGCCCTAGTCTTGCAGCATGGTGCACATGGCCCAGTGTTCTGTGAAGTCGAGATAAATCCTTCCTGTTTAGTTTGATAGGAAATTCAGTGCATTTTACGCAGTAGGTTGGCCACAGACTCCTGCAGACCCTACAGGATTGTACCCAAGTCTTTTCACCTGCTATTAGCCACCTCTTCCAGTGCTGAGAGATGCGATCCTTGATATACATAGATCAGAGGCACAAGTACCTCTTCTGCCTCTGAGACGTCCAAAGCCGACCTGCTCCTGGCTATCTCGTCGGCCATCTCATTGCCATGAATTCTGCTGTGGCCTGGCACTCAAATTAGTGCAACGACATGCCTATCAGCAGCGGCTTTAGCTTATTTTCTGCATTGTTTTACAGAGCCAAGTGCCTTGATCGCTGTCTGGTTATCGGAAGAAACATTAATGCTATTCCCCGCTAGCTCCGTAACAAAAATTAGTTTACACGCTTCTTTGCCAACAAAGACTTCCGCCCAACCAACATTCAGCCTCATTGCGAATGTCGTGTCGAGTGTCACGAAGGACTGTCCGTTCCAACGACAATTTGGTCTATGTAATCGGAACGACCCACATTTATATCTGGCCAAGGACAGTCACTCCAGCATCACTCCTCAAAAGCTCTGGTGAATTTATATGCTGTTATAACAACAACAGCAGAAGTCAGATTTTTCGAGATTGCTTGGTTCTTATAAAAAGCAATGCCTGACACCGTATCAAAAAAGTACCTTCAAAGAACAAGTATTGAAAAAAAGGACAAAATAGATTTCCAGATAAGGAATTAAGCTCAGAAGACAGCAGAGAAAGACCTGTCTTTTGAAATAAAGTACGGATGGTCACCGTAAGAATACCGCACTTCTTACCTAACATTTCCTTGCAAGAGTACGGGGCACCATAGGTACGGTGGAAATCCGTCCTTTTATAATATAACTAAAAACTAACAAATCATTTTAAAAAAAAAAAATTCTTTTATTTTACGCTCATTAATGTGGTCACCGTAGCCATAGGCCGTTTTAACTCGGTGTACTGGCTAACCATATCCTTGACATTGCTTAAAGTTTTTGGTTGTGAACATTAAAAAGTTTTCAATAATATATTTGATTAAATATTAAAATTCGATACATTGGTTATAACACTAAATACGTAGTTAATAACAAAATTTACTGAAATATAATTACAATAGATTGTTACTAAAATATAAATGAGTATGTAACTATGTAGTATGTGAGTATGTATGTATGTATGTATGTGGATGTTTATAACACATAAAATATTATTGAAAGCTTATTTTGCAGATGTTTACATTAAGCACTCAAATTCTTAATAGTTAAAAAATTTTCGCAGAAATTTTTAAAAAATATCTACTGCGCTAACTTTTAATTTTTTGTTTATAAGTCAAAGAAGTAGCGCTTTTTAAATTTCGTATACACAGTTACAAGCTTAATTGCTTTGTTAAGATAGCCTTATAGCCTAGTTAATTGTTGGAAAGGGAACAGTTTTTTTTTCAGAAATCCAAATGTCTCGTTGCGTTACACTGTGCGACAGTAAATACTACACAAAAAAAAATCAATATATTCGTGAAATCAGGTTCCAAAAATAGTAAAACTACGTTTTTAGTTTCTCTTTCTAACGTCACGGCTTTGAAATTTTAAAGATATGATTAATTAAAAAAATTTTTTTTTTTAACCCAATGCAATGTATGTAGAATAAGAATATGGGTATCATATAAAAAAAAATTTTGTTGAATTAAAAAAGTAATTTTTTTTTTGCTGCATAAGGACGAATAGGTGCTGAAAAAGTCCTTTTAAAATTGTATCCTTGATAAATCCTGAAAATTTGCAAAATGTATTTTTGAAAAAAATTTATTTTAAGGACTAATATTCACTCAACCACATTCTCAAATTTCGCCATTCCAAATTTATTAACTTAAAAAAAAAGTAAAATCAATTAAGAGGGAATTTCCAGTACCTATTCGTCCTTATGAGCCAAAAGGCTAACATTTTTTTTTAATTCTTCAAAATTTGCACGGTATTATCAGAGGAAATGAGTAACACTTTCATTGTAATATGATATACATATATAATATATTATATACATGCCCATATTATGAGCACATGCATGCATGCATGTACATTAGGGTGGTCCTTAAAAAAATCAAATTAACTATTTTTTTCAGTCCCACCCCCTTAATCGGTATTACCACGTTGAAAGATATCACATATAAATTTTGGTCCCGTTTAGAGTCGGTCAAGGCGTGTTGCACAGGGGGCAAATTTCAGATTCCTCTATGGAGAATAGAAAATTTAAATTAATTTTTTTTTCCATCTACCACCCAAATCGAAACTACTATAGTCGAAGATATCACATATAAATTTTGGTCCCGATTGGAGTCTGCTATGGAGTCTCCATAGAGGAATTTGAACTTTGCCCGCTGCCGAAATTTATGTGTTTTATATCTTCGACTATAGCAGCATCGACGTTGGGGTTGAGGTTTCGAAAATCTGATACAAGAATGTGTTTCATGCATTTAAGGACTACCCTAATGTGTATACATATAAACATGCCTGTGCTTGCAGATGCATCTTATTTCACGAGGCACATAAACGAAGAAGGATAATCCCGTGAATGACTTTATCTATGGCAACACATCTATGCAGGTCCATATGCATGCAAGCTGACAACTATAAATAAATACAACTATTCGCATTTATATCAGGGTAAATCTACTTTTTTTTTGCCGGCTGCTGTAGATTTACTGTCGGTAGGTCGGCTAAACTGCCACGCATACAATTCGAAAATGAAGTAGTTTTCTGTTGCAGATTTTATCTAATGCGATTTTTTAACACTTCAACACAGATGTGACATGCAGTTGCTTGCATTAATATGTATGTACATGCATATGTACATACATACATATGTACATACAGTTGCAGTAATAAATGTTTGTTCATAGGTATGTTTGTCAACAGCCACCGCTCCTTTGTAGCTTTCCTCGCTTGAACTACACTCACACAGCAGCCATTTGGTGCCGATACCTAGGTGCGTATCAATGCATTCCAATCGCAAAAGCATGCAAATTTTCATACATGCAAATGTATGTATGCACATTAAGGTGCCTCGCCAAATGAAGTGGCGGTTTTTTACCGTAATTATAAAATTTATTTTATTTTAAGGCTCCCAGCAAAATATTGCGTAAAAATGTTAAGTTTTACGTGAGATGGATCGATTTGAAAATACCTCACCAAAATCTCATTAATTTAACTCCTTTGACACAATTTTTAAAATTTTGTAAATTTTAAATTTAAAGTCATCTGTAATCCAAGGTGATTTTTCGGTTAAAAATATTTTTAAAACCAAATTTTATTTATAAAAAAAATCGATTTTTAGAAATGTTTTCAAATCGGTCCTGCTTATGTATGTAAATCTTAAATTTTTTTCGAAATATTTTGGCGAAAGTCTTACCCCAAATTATAACAAATAAAGAAGACTTTAACTGCTTTATAAATAGTAAATTTGTTTGAAAATGTCACTATCTCTCTCTCGCTCTTTAAACCTATTTTATTTTTTTTGAATAACGTCATTAAATTAATTATTAATTAATTAATTTATTATAAATTTTAGAAAGCATTACGGTATTTTTTTTATGAAGAGTGGTGCACCCTAATATACATACATGCATACGCATGAAAGCGCGATCCATAAAAAACATTAGCATTGAGCACCTCGAAGTACTCGTACTTCCAAATGCGAGCATTGTTAACCTTTTCCTTTTGCTACAATCGCTCGCCTTTTAATGCCTTTTTAATGCTAATGTGCTGCGTTTTATTCTCTTTTTGCATTTTTTGTTAAATTTTTTTATTTAGTTTTCTGTTAAATAAATACATGTATGTACTTTGTATACCTATGTTGTTGCTTTTAGAGTTTTTCAAATGCATTTGCATTGGTTAACATTTCGCGCGTCAAACGCCAAACCTGTTTGGCCGCCTGCTCCAGCGAACTGGGCGATTTGCCTTTGAACATGTTTAGTGCCGGTAGAAAATAGTGTGGACATCGTCGATATTGTAGACATGAGATCAACTGTAGGAAGATGCCGTTGATGCGATCAGCGATATACGCCTCGTCCCATTCAAAGTCACGCGGATGCTTTTCACATTCGTAGAGCAGCAGATTTTTTAGATGGTATGCGGTGATCGGATTGCCAGGCAGATCGAGGTGACGATCACGCAAGGTTTTGAGAATACTTAAACAACGACGACGGCAGCCACCTGGAAGGGGTAGAAGATATAAGTGTTTAGAGTGCAATAAATATACATACAACTACGTATATTCATGTGTTTCATGATGGACATTTTCTAATTTTTTCCGAGGGACATTTTCCTAGTCTTATCCGACTACTGCCCAAAAATTAAGGGGATGGACATCTTAAGTCGCTTCAAGGGGTACTAAAATAAATGGCTACTATAATTTTTGATTCCGAAATTAGCAGTTACTCGTCCTTTGCACATTCATTCACAAGTTTCTACGTGTTCATCGGGTTAATGGACACTTTGATGAGCCCTTAGTTACAAGCCCTCTCCGATCTTGCTGAAAAATGCTATATAAAGTCGTTTTGTTCGAGAACTTTGAACCGCACAAGCAGATGTACTTAGTACAATCAAGAATGCGGCAAACCACTGGAACTCTTTCATGATACATACAACCATAGCAAGACGCCAGACATGGGCATCCTTCGATCGTACTAACTCTTAGGTCTCGCCGAAGCTACATCAGTTTCATTCAGTATAATGCCTCTATGAATTAGTGGCTTAGAGGCAGATCGATAGGTTCTATCATCAAAGCCGCCTTGATGCCTAAGGAGTTTAACAGAGAAATCTACTTGAACTACTTGGACCTATCGACCTCACTTACCAGATACTGTAGAGCCGAGTCCCTAGATGCTCTCATGATCTGCGCAAGTTGATTTCAGAGGAATGGAAGAACTCAATAAGAACCCAACTTTAAAAGATGTACAATTTCGCGAGTGTTGATACGAGTATTAGAACGAAAATTGCCTTCTCATGGCAGAAACACTCGAAGACATCAATAATTATTTTATTATTCAAAAGCCTCAAATACAAGTTTAGTGCTTGAGCAATAAAGAAAAGAATTGAGCCGAAATCGTTTCTGCACTGTCGAAAAAGCACACACATTGGCCTCTATACGACTAGGTAGGGGTTTCTCGGCATGGCTCTCTTGTTTAAGTGGTGATATGTATCATTGTTGGGTGGTTAAATAGCTCAGCCGTTCGCCTCTCAACACTTCACTGCCAAAAGCCTCAAACCTAATCGTTGCAAACGCAGAGCAGAAGCACAAACAAGTGCTCCGCCGTCTAATCACAGAGGTGTTTCTACCACGAGCAGTGACCAGTCAGCAATCTCACATAAAGGGAAATATGGATTTTAAGAAAAATATTCACCCAGTTTCATATGGTTGCGTAAATGGCTAAAGATGGGAAAGCTATAAGTGGCTGCGAACCAAGTTATACCTGAATGTGCCCTCTCTGGCCAAATGAGACATCTTCGTTATCATTTTCTCCGGTCTAGACTTGCACTGCAGAACTAGTTTAGAATAGGTTGAAGCGTTTCTCTATCGAACTTTTGCATGTTCCTTTTGAAATATGTATGCTTGCATGACTATAATTCGAAGAGCCATCTTACATTTATGTGAGGGGGAAAAAACATTTTTTTTTCTGTGGAAGTGGTATAGAGTTCTTAAAAATCAATATTTTTCGATCGGAAAGCTCTGTTTCTCTTCTGGAGACCTCCAATAATAATACCAAATATGGCTAAATAAACTATAGGGTATTATTGGAAGCCTCCTGAAGAGAAACAGAGTTTTCCAATGAAAAACTCTTGGTTTTCAAGAATTATATACCATTTCTACGAAAAATGGTTTCTCTTTTCCTTATAAAATAGATGGAAAGCTTTGAGCGACCTCTAAATATTTTTTTATATTTCAAAATAAAAAAACAGGGCTATAATTTCTTTCGGTATAGAACAATCTTAGGGGGTGAGAGCATTAAAATCCTGACTTCACTTTTTTTGGGACCACCCTAATGTACATACGCACTTGCAATTGGAGAGATGATACCTACATACGAGCATCCTAATGCTTTTCCTGAATTTAATCGAATTTGCTACGTTTACAACTGCAAGTCTAATACATAAAAGTAAATAAAGAATCACCTCGTTTGAAATTAGCACAGCCAGAAAAGCATTTACCTTGCAATAGTCGATTTTCCGCCTCGAAANGGGGTGAGAGCATTAAAATCCTGACTTCACTTTTTTTGGGACCACCCTAATGTACATACGCACTTGCAATTGGAGAGATGATACCTACATACGAGCATCCTAATGCTTTTCCTGAATTTAATCGAATTTGCTACGTTTACAACTGCAAGTCTAATACATAAAAGTAAATAAAGAATCACCTCGTTTGAAATTAGCACAGCCAGAAAAGCATTTACCTTGCAACAGTCGATTTTCCGCCTCGAAGAAGCTCAACACCCACGCATCGCCTTCCATGGCCGCATTGTTGTTCTTATTCTGCATAACAATGGATTCTTTGGATAGCAAATCGAAACCTTCGGTTTTCACCTCAGCAACTATATTCGGATGTGGCCAGGGGATGTGTGGCAATGGCCAATGTGCCGCCGAACGTGGCCATATGCCCGAGCATTTGAATGCCGGTGTTATTTGTACCACAAAACGTTCACGCACGCGCAACTTCACCTCCGTTGTATCACCGATCATCTTAACCATGTCGCGATAAATACTCTTGTCACACGCTTGTGCCACCAATGTCTGAAAACGTGAGCGTATCTTGCGCGAAGATAGGTAACCCGATGCCGTAATGAACTCCACCCACAGCGACATGGAACGTTTGCGGCCATCGCTGAGCTTAAGCACAGCACAGCCGGGCATTGTACCGTCGTCGACGAAATTGAAAACGCCCATCTGATTAAGATATAAGACGATTTCGAATTCGTTGGGTGAAACTACTTGGACGCCTTCAAATCTGTAAATGGAGAGAGCTACAAATTTAACTCAGATATAAATTTTTATATGTTGTATACATCAATAATCTACTTTTATAGAAGAGCTACATTTGTGGGTATATGTAAATATGTATATAGGTATACACGCACATCCAAATGTAGTTAAAGACAAACATACATACTATGTATAGTACATTCTTACATACAAAACTTTTTCATACATTAGGTATTTACTTCTTTGTACTAAAGTCATTAAAGTCAACGTATGAAGACAAACCACAGCAATTAGCACGTAACTCAAGTAGGCTCGTGTTAACGTCTCATTTGATGGACAAATTGCACAACCCATACTACTTTGACAAATCGAAGAAGTAGGAAGGAGCCATAANTTATAGAAGAGCTACATTTGTGGGTATATGTAAATATGTATATAGGTATATACGCACATCCAAATGTAGTTAAAGACAAACATACATACTATGTATAGTACATTCTTACATACAAAACTTTTTCATACATTAGGTACTTCTTTGTACTAGAGTCATTAAAGTCAACGTATGAAGACAAACCACAGCAATTAGCACGTAACTCAAGTAGGCTCGTGTTAATGTCTCATTTGATGGACAAATTGCACAACCCATACTACTTTGACAAATCGAAGAAGTAGGAAGGAGCCATAAGTAGACAAGCAACCAGACCGACCGTCTGATAAGCGGGTAAACCTCAAGAGCTAGCTGTCTTCGCTAGCGCTTAATGGCTTCTGTGTCTTCAATAATAAGTGACTATTTTCCGCCTGAGTTGTCGATCAACCGTGCCGTGCAAACGAGTACAAGTAAAAGCACTCAATACTATTCTTCTTTCATGTATTTACATAAGAAATATTGTGTATTTGTTTTTGTAAAATATTTATGCTCAATCCAAACCGCATTACTTTTCACACCCTTCATGGTTCTCGTAAACCTTCCCTTCGTTTTCTTAATACGAGTAATAAAAATGGCAATAGTTGTTCGTTTTAGTAGGCATAGATTGGTATCAAAGTGATATCTCGTGGCGAATATTAAATTTTCGTATGAGTGTAACTTAAATATTAAATATTTTTCACCGTTCACAGTAAAATAAAGTGTGTGTACCCGTCTCAGGAAGGCGTTATGATGGACACCGGGTAGATAGAGCAGCTGAAGATGAATGGAGCTCCCTCGATACCCTCTGCTTAAGGTATAGAAATCGCCTGAGTTTGTTTTTCTAGGCTATTTATAGTCTGTTGTAGGGGGCAGCCAAGGTATATATACTTGTTCATTTTTTAATACATTTTTTATTAAACATTTTTACGCTAATAACAAACGTCTCAGATTTCTTCTACCGACAAGTTATGTTTCTTGCATAAATTCTATCAAACATCCCTCTCCATGCAGATCCCCCCAAGGCGCGAAGCGGTGGACGGCAATCTCTTAATAAAAGGTCCAATTAAGGTCTTCACGGACGTATCGAAGCTGGACGGTAGAGTTGGAGAAGGTGCCTACTGTCAGGAACTCTCAACAGATCTAATATCCAGTCAGACGGATCTCTGCAGCGTCTTTTAGGCAGAAGTAGCCGCTGTAAAAGAGGCAGCCGACTGACAACGCGCTAATATTTTGCCGACTAGGAGGGTAAGTATCTTCTCTGATAGCCGATCCGACCTCTGAGATCGCTAATGGTACGATCGAAACTGGTTGGAGAATGCCTGAACACCTCTCTCTCAACTGCCTACTAATGCTTTCAAATCAAGCTTATTTGGGTTCTAGGACACAGTGGCATCACTGAAACTTGCAGAGCTGATGAATTGGCTTTTGGGCTCACGGTCGCCTCATCGGGCACTGAGCGAAAGCCCCGATATGCAAAGTTATACGGTCCTTCTGGCCGGTTGTTGACCGCAGACGGTCAAAGGGAGCTTATGCAACTGGATAAGCGCCAGCTCTCAATTCTTACAGGTATACTGACCGGAGATTGTCCTTTAGTGACCCACGCGGTGCGACTTAATATCGTCACGGATCCCACGGATCTGTCAAAGCTATGTAGAAGACGAGGTGGAATTACCTCAGCACTTCCTACTTAGCTGCCCTGCATTCTATAGTTTAGGGGTTCACGACTTTTAAGTGGGAGTCCACGAAAATTTATCTGGTTTCGATAGTAGAGAAAAAACATGTTGGCATGGATTTATTTACTAATGTAGGCAGATAATACGCCACCCAAAAAAATAAAGGGAGCAGAAGAAAATCCAAAGCTTTCGGTTATTTTTGACGGGCTGTATTTCGGTGAAAAACGGTCGTATTGAGACTTAAAAAAAAAAAAACATTTTGAAGCGTTAATTTTCAGACTTTTCATGTAATCCTGACAGATAGCGCGAAAAAAAAATTTTGCTAATTTTTTGATTTTTTTTGGTCCACGGGCTTGAAATTTTTTTCAGTTAGGCCGGCATATGGGTCTTCTTAATTTAGCTTTTCGATAGCATACAAATTTTGAAAATGGTTCACGAGGAAGAAAGTTTAGGAACCTCTGATTGAATTCAATGGTTATAAAATTTTAATAATTTCATTTTGAATAAAAAATAATAATAACGAAACCTGTGAAAACTAAAGATACATGTGCGTATCAAGACTATAAAACACCCACGTATTGAAAAGTTTTGAGTATAATTTTTTGTGTTATTTAAATTTTAGTTACTTTTAATAAAAATATATGTAGTTCATTCTACTTATGACAGAACCATACAATTCGAAGTTTAAAACTTTGTGCAAATATTCAACAAAGTTCCATTAAAATTTCACACTTTTTATTCAGACTTTTCATAAAATGTTTGTGTACGCAGTTTTATAGCCCATTCAAATCTAGCATGTATAAAAAGAGTGGCAGTTTTAAGAGGCTAAAAAATAGCTTGGATTTTGGACAAATTTTTAATTGTATGTATGTTCGAAATTTTTTTATGTTTTGGAAAATAAAATTCACAACACCGTCAACAATAAAAATTACTAGAAATCAACGGCATTTGTAGTTACTTTATAATTCCACTTAATTACAATAGAGTTAAGTGGACTGTAAAGTTGCAAACCCTGAAATTTTCTACAAAGTTCTGAACAAAACTGAAACTTTGTTAATTTTTTTTTTAATTTTTGTACAAAGTTTGGTACTTGGATTTATATGGTGTTTGTTATAGAATGAACCATGTTTATGTTAAAAAATTATTAAAATTTAATAATAGCAAAATAAATCCTCAAAACTTGTCAATACTATATATTTCTAGTTGTTCTAAGAAAATAGCTGTGGACTACATCCAATATAAAATCATGAATTTACACTAAAATAAAACATTTGTATGTAAATTTCTCTTTCACAAACGTGCCGTATAATAAATTTAATACGAATATTTACCTGCCATTACACTCCACCAGACTGGAGATGAAGCGCGGCTCCTGCAATTCCACCTCTTTCAAAACGTCTTGAACGATTTTGCATATTTCCCGTATGGCCGTGGCAGTTTTGAACATACGCGCCTGAACACGCTCCGCGCAATAGCGATTCATCTGATAAATCATGCGCGTCTGCGCAGCCAGCATATCCGGCGGTACCAACATAGTTGCTATGGCGACGGCGGCGGCGGCGGCGTTGGCAACGGATGATGAAATATGCTACTTAAACTAGGGCCGACCAGCAACAATGGCGACTAATGGCGAGCGGTTGGTTAACAGTCAGCGATGAAAGCAACAAATTTTCAATGGCGACTCAATGTCTGCGGCGGCAGCGACGTATGGCAGAGCACAGCAGAGAACAATGCAATTGAAATTATGCGACGGCGTGTAACAAGAAAAAAGCAGAAGAAAAAAAATCAAAATCGAAAAGACCGAAGGAATATTTCAGGAGGCGATTTTCAGTTAATTAGAGGTGGTGACGCACTAAGCAGCAGGAAGGCGGTTGCGTACGATATACAGTGAAACCTCCCTTGGGCGGACACTCACCGTCAGTCATTTTTTGTCCGCCCAAGAGAGGTGTCCGCGCAATGGGAGGGAAGCTTATTTTAGAACTTTTTACTGTTTTAATTAATTGAATAGTCACTTTTTTCTCATTTGAACAAAAATGTGCAGGTATTTTTTCAAAAGTGTATATTTCATTTATGTGCGTAAGTACATATTAAGTAATAACAAAATAAAAATAAATATTACATTTCAGTCCATAAACTACATACAACCATAGATTCATTACATAAAAAACTGGGAAATTGTCGATTGACGTAAGTTTTATTTCTAATTTTTATCAGTGTCAGTACCTTTTTCATCAATAGTTTTCATGTTTTTATCAGTAACAAAATCCAACCAGAAATCTAAATTTTCGGTCCATG